CACACATAGTATGCCTTCAAAGTACATGCGTAGGCTTTCAACGCGTGGAAAGTTATGAACCCATGTGGCTCCTGGTTTCGCGTGGACGTCCTGTCGCAGGAAATTTTGTCACGGGGATATTATTTTTTTGGACATAATGTCGTGGGATGTTCTGTCGTGGAAAATTTTTTTTTGGACGTTCTGTCTGACTACCGTCAGTCAGACGGTCAGACAGAACGTCAATAGTTTCTTCCCCGGCTCAGGTAACTGACCGGGAACTGCTGATCGAGCCCGTAGTGGTCGATTCCGATAGAGAAGCGGTTTTTACGCAGGCGGATCTCGCTTCCAGCGGGGAATCCCCGGTAGCGTCCGCGGTGCAGATAGGCACGGAAGCGCAACTTCCAGGTGTGTACGATTTCACCAGCTCTGTATTTGCACAATACAGACGGGGAGCTCGACATAACCGTGTCTTGACGAGACATTTGCCTTTCCAGCTATGGCAGTAGACGTCACTTCCCTCGAGCCAGGACCAGCGAAAGCAGTAAGTCTTTTATTAGAGCCAGCTGACACGATTCCTGCCGAAGGGCCTCCCGACGCTTTCACAAGGGAGCTGTTCGGTTCGGGACTAGAGCAAATAGAGGTGGCATCATGGAATGACTCAGTCACCCAAGCCTGGCGCAGTATCACTCGCGAGGGCCTTCCTCCCGATTTCAGGGACTTTCTCCTCAAGAAGTATATGCCCGTTGAGGCAAGGGCTTTTCTCAAAGCCCCGAAATTGAACCCCGAGTTTAAATCGGCTCTCAAGGGCAACTCGGTCGCAGCAGCAGCGCGGCAGCAAAGATGAATTTCGGGCCAAGGACCAGAACCAAGCAAGCATTGCTTTGTGCGCTTTGGGCGAGGCGATTTCAGACTTTCTCAGACCCGAAATTCAACAGTCTTTATCCGCTGAGGCTCGTGCGGTTGTCATCAAGGTCAATGAGGGCGCCAAGATCTTAGCAGATCATTTTTACCGCTTATCCCTCTCCAGAAGAGCTCAGATTAAGCCATCACTTAACCTCCTAGCGAAAAATACGGCCGATACTATTCCAGCCGATGATTTCTTATTTGGTACGGCATTTGGCGAAGAATTAAAGAAAGCATCTACCATGGAGAAGTCTTCCAAGAGTATTGCTAAACTCCGTTGGTGGTATCGAAAAACACGCATCAGCCTATTAAACAACCAGCACAGGTAACGCCTGCCAGGTCGGGAAACCCCCGCGTCCCTGCAACAAACAGAAAATCATCGGCGACACTCAGGGCAGGGACGTCGAGGTATGCGAGCAGCAGTCGCCAGTCAGCCCATCGGCACAGGTCCCGTTCGAGGAGGCGTTAAGTAGCGATCAGGTACGGATTGGGGGCCGCCTCTCTAATTTTCTCTCTCAGTGGAGGCAGATTACCACAGATGCGGTGGTCCTGCAGGCTATCTCGGGTTATAGACTACCCTTCAGTCGGCATCCTCCTTGTCAGGTTAATGAACCTCCCGTTTTTTGACAGATTTAGAACAACAGGTTTGCCAACAAGAGATTAGCAGACTGTGTGATATCGGGACGGTTGAGCGCGTTCGAGTTTCTGAAGATAAATTTCTGTCTTCTTATTTTGTCATCCAGAAGTCCTCAGGAGGTTGGAGATTTATCCTGAATCTGAAGTTACTCAATAACTTCATTGTCGTCCCACACTTTAAAATGGAGGATTGGAAGACCGTGGTCCAGCTTCTATCACCGGGAGATTTTCTTGCATCTATAGATCTAGAGGATGCTTACTTGCTCCTGCCGATTCATCGAAATGATAGGAAGTTTTTCCGTTTTCGTTTTAAAAATCAGACTTTTTAATTTAGAGCCTTTCCTTTTGGTCTTGCTTCTGCACCGTATATTGTTACCAAAGTTTTAAAGCCAGTAGTTCATTATCTTAGAAAAAAGGGTTTTTTGTCGGTTGTTTATTTGGATGATTTTTTACTCATTGCTTCTTCCCGCAAGCAAGCGTTAGAGAACGTCGCCGCAACTTCAAATCTTCTATCTTCGTTAGGCTTTATTATCATCAGACGTAAGAGCGTTCTTTCTCCTTCGAGATCGCGTCGCTTTTTAGGCCTTAATTTTGATACGGATCGTTTTGCGATTTCTATTCCTGACGACAAAAGAGAGAAACTTCTTCACAGGACATTGAATTTTTTAGAGAAAAAATCATGCAAGATCCGTGATTTGGCAAGTCTTATCGGCTCCTTGATATCAGTATGTCCCGCTGTCCAATACGGGATTTTACATACTAAAACCCTAGAGAGGGAAAAGTTCTTAGCACTCTCAGCGGCAGAGGGAAATTTTGAGGCTAGGATGGTTTTTCCCTCTTCAATTCAAGAAGATTGGTTATGGTGGAAGTCCGTGTTCGCAGACAGGTTTCAACATAACGCAATAGATCAGGCCGCTTTGAGCTTGAGATTTTTTCAGATGCCTCACTATCAGGTTGGGGGGCTGCCTGTAACGATAATCGGACGCATGGTTTCTGGTCAGAGGACAGAAAACGCAACCACATCAACTATTTGGAACTGTTGACTGTCTTTTATGCTCTCAAATGTTTTGCTTCTCATTTGGAGAATTGTAATATCCTATTAAGAGTGGATAATACTACTGCCTTGTTCTACGTCAATCGAATGGGATCGGTTAGATTCCCCCACTTATCCGACCTGGCAAGACAGATCTGGTGCTGGTGCGCAGTCCGAAATCTTTTTATCTATGCAGCATATATCCCCTCGGCGCAAAATATCGTGGCCGATACGGAATCTAGAATCGTTTCTGTAGAAACTGAGTGGACTTTAGAGCAGGCGTATTTCAATGAAATTCTCTCTGTTTTCGGTCCTTTCGAGATTGATTTATTCGCGTCTTCGATCAACGCGAAGTGCACTCGTTTTGTAGCATGGTTGCCTGATCCTCTGGCTTACGCAATAGACGCTTTTTCTCTAGACTGGAGTAAATTCTACTTCTACGCCTTTCCACCTTTTATATTAATTTTAAGAGTCCTTTGTAAAATAATTTTGGACAGGGCAAAGGGGGTAGTAGTGGTGCCATGGTAACCAGCTCAACTTTGGTTTCCACTGTTTAACGAACTTAGTGTTCACCAACCGATTTGGTTTGAGCCGAATATTAAAATGCTTTCGTCTTTTTTCAGGAAGATACACCCCGCGTGGAACAGGATTTCCCTGGCAGCCGCAAAATTATCTGCCAAGCATTACTGTCAAAAGGAACTCCTGCAGCAGCGTTAGAAGTCACCCTTGCTTCGATTTCGAATGCGACTATCGCACAATATGCTAAACCTTTACGTCTGTGGTGGCACTTCTGCAGGCAGAAGGAGATATCCTGTTTTTCTCCATCGGTATCGCAGATTTTAGAGTTTTTATCCTCTCTGTTACCAAAAGTTAGGTTTTACTCTACTTTAAATACCTATCGCTCGGCAGTTTCTCTTCTTTCACCTGACGAGGTGGGCTCCCACGCTCTGGTGAGAAGATTTTTGAAAGGGGTCGCAGCCTTGAAGCCTCAGCGCCCGCGATACGATTTTGTCTGGGATCCATCCTCAGTGTTAACTTACTTGGCAACCTTGTTTCCTCATGAGGGTTCAACTCTCGAGAAGGTGTCGGACAAATTAGTGACTTTAATGGCTCTTACAACGGCCCAAAGGATGCAGATATTAGCGGCCATTCAGGTCTCCAATATTGTCCTGTCGGACATGTTAGTAATCAGGATTCCAGCTAGGTTAAAGACTTCAGGAATCGGATGATTCTAGCCTTTATTTACGTTCAAACCTTTTCCGGACAGACCTGAGCTCTGTGTCTTCTCCTTAGTAAGGTTCTGTCTCGAGCTCACGCGCGAGGTTCGACAAGAAGGCTGCGGGGTGCTCTTTATCTCCCATCGTCCCCCACATAAAGCAGTATCTTCACAAACCTTAAGGCGTTGGGTGAAATCCGAATTAGAGGCTGCAGGAGTTAATATATCCGTTTTTTCAGCCCACTCCACACGACACGCCTCTGCTTTTTTCGCTGCAGGCAGGGGCATTAGTGTGGAAGAGATTTGTCGTACCGCGGGCTGGAACAGATCTTCTGAGGACTTCGCCCGTTTTTATAACCGTCCCATAATAGAGACCGTCTCGCTTCAGACCGCGATTCTCAATAGTCTTTAGTTTTTTAAGCCGTTATTCTTCCTTATTTTATTTGTGTTCAGTCTTTTTAGTTAAAATGTTTACGAGGTCATCAGAATATTAATTTTGTTCTCTGCTTACACGCAGATGTCTAGCTGATTTTAAGAATGTTCATCTATGCATGTATATGTATTTATGTACCTATAGTTTGTTTTATACATATATAAATTTTCTCACAAATCTGACAATGAACGTTAAATATCTACACTTATATATCCATCCGGACGAGACGGACATAATTGAATAGTTGAACGAACTTACCTAGTGAAGTTCGACTCCAATTATGCTCCTGTCTCGACTGGATGGATAATCCCTCCCCCCTGGACCCTTCTGGTCAGATTTGTGAAGTTAAAAAATAAAGATCCAGGGAGACGCATGTGCGACGGTGGCGCGTGGCGCGGCCCAGTGCGGCGCAAAAGTTTTTTCTTTAAATTGGCCTGTTGTGGATGACGCATGAAATGCGACTACACTTATATATCCATTCGGACGAAACAGGAGCATAATTGGAGTCGAACTTCACTAGGTAAGATCGTTCAACTATTCAATTATTCTGCAGTGGATCAAAAAAGTATTTGCACACCCAGATTTCTTACAATAACTTTATTTGAAAGAATAATACATAATTAGGAATTGTGTTCATAAATAACTTATTACATATACTGTATATAATAAATTGCTTTATGGATACAATTCGTACTTATGTATTATTCCTTCGAATAAAGTTATTGTAAGAAAACTGGGTGTGCAATTACATTTTTGATCCATTGGATGTGTTATTTGGAATTATACATTTAATAACTTACTTTTCTGCAAGAAATACAGCAGAGATGGTACTCCTCTTTAAGTTAAATATCACCGGTGTATTCCAATTCGTCACAGAGTACACATGGCACTGCATGGGTGTGATGACGACTAAATGATTGAAGCCAAATTCGAGGTATACAACACGATCAGAAATTTCCAGTACTTCACGAACTTCATTGGCGACTTCTCTAACTTCGATTACTTTTCTTCTTATCAATGTGGCTTCATAATTATCCCATTCCAATCTCCTATTATTGTACAAGAAATTTATATAAATATATATTTTTGTTAATATAATATAATACTACTGAAAATATTTGTAAAATACGAGAGTAGATCGGAAAATTTCTAGAACAAAAAATCAAAGAGGCACACTGTGTCACAACCAACAACGTAGGGCTACGTCAATTGTCCTTCGCTGAATACTTTAAAGATGTAAAGAGATAGTGTTATGAAATAGTGACAGTTGACATAGTTCTACGTTGGTTGTGGCACAGTTACTACTGTGCCTCTTTGATTTTTTCAGATATAATTTTTTTTTATCAAGAGACACGGCAGTGTCTCGCGCCAAGTACGCGCGGAGCGAGACGCACCGTGACTCATTTACGCGAACGCACGAGTTGCGAGTACCCGAGATGTTGAGATCTCGATAACGAGTGAACGGATCAAGTTCTAAGTAGGCTTGATCGATAGCTTGGGGTCGACTTGGGGGGGGGGGTGTTTTTATTTTTCCGCTATGTGCCCTATGAGCGGAGATATTGCGATGCAAAGTCAAAATGTGATGAAAATTTTATTAAGATACGTCTACGTCAACCGCTTTCATCTCAATATATAACATATATATAACATATATAGAAAACAGGATATGACAAATGTATTGTTTAGTTGTGTAAAGTCTGGCAGGCTAAACTGCTATGTAAGCACCAGAAGGTGAAGCATTAATAAATATTACTATATAACATATATATGGGTGCATTCGGGGAGACGCTATTAACGCTATAAACGCAAACGCTATGAACTTCGTTCGAAGAGCCAATAGCGCGACAGCGATAGCAAGCTCCCCGAACACAGCTTAAGCGCCAATAGTATTTCGTGCCTCACCTCGAAAATAATAGCGAAAATAGCGCGAGTGATGACGTCACGCTGCCTTTACAGTGACGTCATCATCGTATATCACAGCGCCACAAAGCGTCTCCTCGAACAGTTTTAGACGATAATTGTGCTAATAGCGTGCTCCCCGAATGCACCCAAAATCTGTTCGGAGAATATCATTCCGCGTCACGAGCGGCCATTGCCTCGAGCCGACCAATCAGAGTTAGGCTCGACAGGCTACTCTCGACTGGTCGATACATCGATCAGTCCGGAAGATCGCATGCTCATCTCGGTACTCGCGAGTTCGCCATGACAATACTTTTCCGGTTCTCGTGCAAGACGGACGTGTCTTTGAGCAGCGCTTGCTAGACGAATCGAACTTTTGCAAGGAACGCTGTGTTTCGGTGATTTCTCAGCCAGAGCATCTCGGGATCCTCTCATAGACAGCCTACCACGACTCTCTCTTTTTTTTGGACGACGGACTGCGGATCGTGGCCACGGCCCCGGCTCCCTGCCGAGAGTCGACAAGTGAAGTGCGCGGTTAACGTGGCCAGCGCCACAAGGTGAACGCCCCGCCCCGGAGTGATCGCCGCTTGCCCTCTCGCCGGGCATCAGACTAAGGCTGCATTCCGATATTCACTGTCAGCAACTTTCAGTACTGAAAATCTATAGTATACGTGACGTAAAATATAGATTTGCAGTACTGACAGTGAATATCGGAATGCAGGCTAAGTGCGCCGGGTCATAACAATATCAGAGAAATGTCACTTTCACTTTTTCGACACTGGCGGCTGGCGGCGCTAGTATCGCCAGTTTCGATATGTATCGATACATATGTATACGTGTGTGTACTGCGCGCAGTGCAGTGCAGTGCAGACAGTGCGTTCAGCGCGCTGTCACAGTCACTTAACCTAACACAGTAGTGTCTCGCGTCAAGTACGAGCGGAGCGATACCGACCGTGACTCTTTACGCGACGCGACAATTAATATTTTTTCTGATTCAAGGTAATTGTTTTATTTACATGTAATTATCCTATTATTATACGACGCGAAGCGAGGCCGTGACTCTTTTACGCGATTAAGTGCATGTGACAGGAATTATAATAGTTTACGTTTATATACATATAACATTATGTATTACTTCTTCTCCGCGTGTGCGGTGACATTTCGTTTCGTAATATATGCGGCGATCGTTAACGTCGTGGTTGATAATGTTGATTGACAGTTGGTGAGTTTTATATTTCTTATATTCGTTTCGTATAAATACATGTAAAGAATTCCACGTTTCGTGAATTGAGTTGAGTGATCAAGAAGTTGAATGATTTTAATTATTAATAGTAGTTTACGTTTACGTGAGTATTATACTTCTGTAGTAACTTATACGATATCATTATAGTTATTATAAATTACTATAAATCTCCCGTTTACGCGGATGAATTATCGCATCGTAAGTTATCGTAAGTTATTACAGAAGTAACGCTCGTGTAAACGTAGTATAGGTTAGGTTATCGGTTTCTTACAAAATCTTATGAATCCTGATACCCACAAGTATAAATTTCTTACAATCTTCTTATGATCTCTATCATGATCTCAATCTTCTTATGATCTTTATATAATCGGATCTCATAATTTGTGTTTTGTGTTTTACGTGTATAGGAAAAGGGATGAGGAGAAAAATAAACTTAGGGAAAAATTGAGGCAAGAATGAGCTAGAAATCAGAACGTATCATCTTGGACATTACCGCCACTAGCAGTCATCAATGGATCATTATTTAATTACGAAGAGTTGTGCTATTTTATCGAGAGTTTGTAGATTATTACTAAGGTATTGATTTTATTTAATTGACTTTCAAGTTAATTTTATTCTATATTATTTATACTTGGATTACAGATATCGCAAAATAATTGCAAAATGAGTTCACATTTATGCCAGATTATGCCATCAGACATGTATCAAGAAAAATTATAAGGGACAACTTTGTCGTTATTTATGAGCTCCTGGAGTTACTGGACTTTGGCTATCCTCAGATCACCGACAGCAAGATTCTGCAGAAATACGTTTTACGATTTTATTGTAACTAAGGTAAAGATACAAAAGGATAAAACTTATAAAGCAATATTACAATGTTGGCATGTTATTTTTATGTATGTAATATTGCGATTAGGCACTAGGAAAAAGCGAACCTCTGTTTACATATGACGTTCACGATGACATTCGTGTTATGCACGATGCTTCTGTTGAAACCGAGAAATGACATGCTGGAAAAGTTTTATATTTATCATTAAAAAAATACTTTGTATAATTCTTTTTTATATTATTTTTCATTAGATCATGGTACGAGAGGAACAAACACATTTTTCCAGCGAGTAAATGGGAACCTTTTGATACAACAAAAAGTTACGACAAGTATATATACAGTGTCGGATAAAAATAGGAAGAAAGATAAAAACTGATAAACTTAGATTCAACTAATTGTCCAATTTCGTTTAAAGGATTCACATTCAAAGGTGTTGGCGTTTTAATTCCGGGCGTAACTCCGGCGCGCCAATTAGCGTAAGAATTTGCCGAGTCGACCCCGACAGAGATCCGGTGTGCAATGAGGAACGGACACTTTAGTTTCGTTATGTAATGCACAAAATATATTTGAGTCAATTTAATATTGTACAGGTTTTGTTAACGCACTTTTGAGAGACCGCGACACTCTGCAAGCACGTGATTCGATGTGGGCTCGGTGCGCGGATCACGTGACGCGGAACTGTTCGCTGGACGCGGAGGCGCAGGCGAATTGAAGGCGCTATGTCTTGCACTCGATTGACGCACAAAAGGCGTTTTACAGTAGTTGCATTTGCTCGTAACACAAGACGCGAGATAGTTCACAAATGGTCGGATCGATCTCGATGATCGAGCGGACAATGGCGATGCGCGCAGGGCGACTTGTACGCGTTGTTCTCCACTCGCGGTAGCGAGGTAGGATTTCTGCGGACGCACTAACGGCGATGCAATTAACGGTGCTCTTGCTGAGCAGTAAGTCCGTGTGCACGACGGTGTGTAAGGCCGCGTGGAACGGACGAACGATTTACGGATGCACGGCGGTGTACCACCTCGTGAACCGGAGTACTTGTCGTAACTAACTGAGACCGGAGCTCTCGCGGCCCTTCGCGAGCCCGTTTCGGGAGCCTTCGGTTGCACGACGCGTATCGACTAATCATTCGCGTTTCCGGGATCATGCGATCCCGGCATGACGGATCGATACGCGTCGGGAGAAGCTTTTCGGTCAGGGTGTACGCGGGGAGCGGCGCGAAATCCCTTCGTTCGGAGGGCGACTGACGGATGGCGTCACTGGCACGCTATGGATCCGCGATCGCAATGATTCACCGAAAATTACGGAACAAAAGGACTGTAATTTAGTAGAGCTACATAATCGAGTAAATGAGTTAAATATTATCACATAACTGAATTAAAATTACAGTCTTTAAAAATACACTGTAGCTACAATATATATACATATATATTAAAAATACAATGTAGCTACAATATATATACATATATATATATATGTATATATCAATTGTACGATGAAAAAAAGTTATTTATCTGGTTATAATATTTACAATCCTTTGAATCTGAATCCTTTAAACGAAATTAGACAATTTGTTGAATCTAAGTTTATCAGATTTTTAACCGACACTGTATACTTGTCGTAACTTTTCGTTGGATCAAAAGGTTCCCATCTACTCGCTGGAAAAATGTGTTTGTTCCTCTTGTACCATGATCTAATAAGAAAAATAAAAAAATAACATAAAAGAGAATTATACACAGTATTCTTTTAATGATAAATACCTAAGTAAAACTTTTCCGGCATGTGATTTTTCGATTTCGACAGAAGCATCGTGCATAACACGAATATCATCGTGAACGTCAAATGTGAACAAAGGCCCGCTCTTTCCTTGTGTCTATAGACTTAACTGTTTGTTATATGTAAATAAATATAGAGAAATATTTTCCGTGCATGTGTATTCTATCGTGCCATATACGCAAGTCTTTGCGGCAATGTCCGACTACTACTACAGCATCGTCTTGGCAAGATGCATTGTGGACATATGTGAAGAGCCTTCTAGATATCAAAGTTGAATCAGCACTGAGGTTAATGATGGTGAAAATATATACCATTATGCCGGAGGAATATTGAAAAAATGAAATCTCGTTGGAAGACGCGTTCAAAGAATTGCACGTGTCAAAAAATTAACTAATAAAAAACTGCAAGGTTCTGGCTTTCGTTTGCGCTTTACAAAATCGATTTTGTACCCGTACTGTCATTATCTTGCCGTACATCAGCTAAGTCCCTCCAATAATGTTTCTCGCGGCGAAATTCCGAATGAAAAGACGCGTGAGATAGGTGCGGGTGAGGGCGCGTGTGTGGGGCGCACCGCGTGCGGAAATTCGGTCGAGCCGCTGCGTGTGATGGGCACGGGCGAGGGCTCGTGTGCGAGGCGCACCGCGTGTGGAGGTTCGAGTGAGACGTCGCTCGGTTATAAATTAAAGCCCGACACGTTCGACGGGAGTGTTCCTCTGCGCGAATATTTAGCACAGTTCAATTTAATTGCGCAAGCGAATGGCTGGGAGGAATCTTCGAGAACCGTGGCTTTAGCCTCGAGCTTAAGAGGAAAAGCGCGTGCCATATTGGATGGGGTAACCGAATTCGGGAGCCTTCGCTATTCTGAATTAGAGGCTAGGTTAGAGTTGCGTTTTGGCAAAGCGCATATGTCTCAAACGTTTTACACCCAGTTCACTAATCGGAGACAAAAACTCGGAGAAGATCTGCCCGTTTTGGGAGCGGATTTAGAACGTTTAGCGCGTTTGGCCTATTCGGAATGCTCGGCCGAGGTGCGGGATAAGATTGCGTGCGCCCAGTTCGTTGCGGCGCTTTCTGACGGTTTCGTAAAACGAACTCTTCAGTTAGAGGGATTAACTTCCTTGAGAGCCGCCATAGAGAGGGCCATGGCAATAAAAATCATCCAAGCGAATAGTTTTTCGCGGAAATTTGAAAGTAGAGTTCTCGGAAAAGGCAGAGCTGGGAACGAAATTAAATCGGCGGGGAATGAGAAAGATGAAAAAAGTTCTGTAAATTTTAAGAAGAATTTGGGTTTCAGGACGAGATTCGGGCGTGAGGAAAAGGAGTGCTGGCAGTGCGGTGCCAAAGGGCACTTTCAGTCGGAGTGCCCTTCTCTAACTACGGAAGAGAAGGGAAACTCGGAATAGCCGAGCTCAGCGGGGCATGTTCGGCTCAGGGGTGCAAAGGCCCTGCGAAATTAAGTAGGATAAGTAGCGGGTTAAGTGATTTTTGTTTTCGCGGCCGAGTTAATGGCCGGACTTGCGTCTTTAGAATAGATACGGGCTCCGATGTGTCGGTACTTAGGGAAGATTTGTTAGGTCCTTTGAAATCACCCATTCCTGTAGAGAGGTAATTCTTGACCTATCCAACGGGAGAAACGGTTCCTGTAAAACATAGAGTGGTGGTTGGAATCGAAATAGGGAATAGGGAAATTTTCTTTGGATTTTCCGGTAATCATAGCGGCCATAAAAGACGAGTGTATTCTAGGAGCGGACTTTCTTTCAAAAATAGGGGTGGGAAGCGTTTTCTCTTTGGTTTTTGAGGAAACGGTGTCAGAGAGTCAAGAAAACTTTTTCTGTTCCCGAATTTGTAGTTTTGATAGGGGGATTCCTTTTTTTCTTAAAGAATTCTTTGAGAAAAATTCCGAAACTCTCAACGCTTCTCAAAAGGAGCAGTTTGCTGAATTGGTGATCGAGTTTCAAGATGTCTTTTCGGAAGATGTGGTTGCAGGAAATTGCTCCGTCGTTGAGCATGCTATTAGGGTGAAAAATTCTTCTCCGATTAAACAGGCTCCTAGGCGAATTCCACTGCGTATGCGAGAAGAGGTGGAAAAGATTTTAAACGAAATGAAACAACGTGGTGTCATCGAAGAATCTCATAGCGCCTGGGTTTCTCCAGCTGTTTTAGTTAAAAAGAAAGATGGAACGATTAGATTCTGTATCGATTTCAGGAAGCTCAATGCCATTACAGAAAAAGATTCTTATCCTATTCCCAGGATAGATGATCTTTTTGATCGTTTATCCGGAAATTCCTGGTTCACCACCTTAGATTTAAAAAGCGGCTATTGGCAGGTGAAGTTTCGTCCTCAGGATAGGGAGAAAACGGCCCTCTCTATAGGAAATGGCTTATGGCAGTTTACTGTAATGCCATTTGGATTATGTAATGCTCTTGCTACTTTTGAGCGATTGATGGAGCAGGTTCTTCGTGAGATATTGAATAAGATCTGTATGGTTTATTTGGATGATGTCATCATCTATAGTAAAACTTTCGAGGGAATGCTGGCAAATTTAAGGGAAGTATTTCTTCGTTTACGCGGTGCAAATTTAAAACTCAATCCAAAAAAATGTACTTTCTTTGGAAGAGAAGTGAAATACTTAGGCCATGTCGTTTCAGAAAGAGGAATCTCTACTGATTCGGAGAAAATTAAGACCGTTCAAGAGTGGCCTATTCCTCAAAATAAGAAGCAAGTGCGA